TAAATTTGCTATATTTAAACGTCAATTATATATTTTTTAATTGTTTCTGCTCAAATCAATTGTCAATTGAATTGTCTTCAATTGAATCTGTTTTTTTTCAATTGTCCATTAAAGTACTTCTAATTAAAATTAACTTATTAATCGTTTAATTGAAAAACTTTTAATTAAATTAGCATGTATTAATCGTTTAATCGATCGCTCTCCGATTAATTTCGTTTATATCGATTGTCAATTAAATAATCTTCAATTGACTTCGATTATATTAATTGTTAATTAAGCGATCTTCAATTAATCTAGCTTATATCAATCGTCATTGTAACGATCTCTAACTAATCTTTCTAAAATTAATCGTTAATTAAAAATATTTTAATTAAATCTGTTCATATCATTTGTTCAATTATAAAAAATCTAATTGATATTTTGCCATCTCTGCTTCAAACAATAATCGTACCACTTTCGTCTTCTTCAATAATGTGCGGAACAGAATAGTCGCACAAACGCTCCAAACTGATCACTGGGTCATACAGGTTCTCACCTGACACGGAAATTTCAGAATCACGCACATCGGGTCCTAATGGCGTAAGTGCGGTTTCTAGGAGGAAAATCAGCTGGAGAAGCAGGAGGGATCGCTCGTTGTGGCTAAACTGTCCATCCTGCGAACGCCCGCAGGCGCTGCTGGATTTTTTTATCGCCATTCTCGAGGCAGTTCCGGTGAACGGTGGGTAGCAGTTGTGGCGTATGCCCGCATGGGCGAGGTAGCCGGAGCTCGTCGCCTTCGCGACGGCAACTCTTACAATAACTGTCTTAAACGGTCCCGCCGTACTAACTAATAATTAATTTCATTCTCCAGTTTTTGGTCGAATTAAATGCATCTTATTATTTGTCGAAATTTGTCACTAACGATCAACAATTATTTGTGAAGAATTAGTTTCATGTTTTTTGATGTTAGAGTTATGTTTTTTTATGCGCGTATCCAGATGACGTTTGATTCGCTCAATATAACAGGAATTGCAATTATTACAAAAAATTTTGTATACAGTGGAACCTCTCTCAGTTGGGTTGATGCGGAGACAAACCCGACTACGAGAGGTATCCAATAGCATGCTAGAAAGCGGTCACAATGGACTTAGCCTCTTTCCTTCTCTGTCTTCGACACAGTGCCGTGCAGTGCTCAAGCATGGAGAACGGAATCCTTACATATTTTACGAAGTGAGTGTATATTTATAATTTTGTCGCATAGCAATTGCAAAAATAATGCGACATAAGCATGCGTATGTGATCACACAACATGTATATATTACCACATGCGCATCCTCATATCGCTGACTTTCGTCCCGTGCATTGACAGATTTCCTAAACTCGTTATTTTATTTCAGGACAATTTCATGCAAAAACGCGTCGATTGAGCATTTACATAAATACAGTGAGATAGACAAAGTCAAGAAAAAATACCGGCGATTAGAAATTTCTAAAAAAATAGCAATATTGAGTTGCTTGGAAAAAGGTGAATCCGTTGCAAAATTGGCAGCTGAGTACAACGTCGCACATTCTACGATATGGTTAATCAAAAAGAAGAAAAATGACCTTTATAAATATGCAAGTTTAGTAAAGGATAATGACGGTTTTTTAAAGAAAAAAAGTAATAAACTATGTAGAACATCAGCTTCTGGATAAAGCGTTATTTATGTGGTTTCAACAACGGCGTTTATGGCCCTGATCACTTCAAAGGAAGTAACGGTTAGCTATGGAGGTGAAAAATTTATGTCTATTACGTATATATTATTTATATATTATGTACATAAAATTATGTATATATTATTTATATATTATGTACATAAATATGTATGTATACATACATATTTATGTATATATTATGACAGATTTAAACAACGACATGGTATTCGCGAGCTCAGCGTTCAAGGAGAAAGTCTGTCTAGTGATAACGAAGTTGCACAATTATTTTTTGAACAGTTTTCTGTGGAAATGAAAGAAGAAGGATACGACCCTGAAAATATATACAATGCGGACAAGAGTAGTTTGTTATGGAAAAATTTGCCAAGGAAAACTCTCGCAAGTCGTTCAGAGCAAACTGCCCCGGGACGAAAAGTACTAAAAGATCGAGTGACTTTCATGCTATGTACAAATGCTACAGAATCGCACAAGCTCAAAATTATGGTTATCGGGAAATACAAACAGCCTCGCTGCTTTAAAAACGTGACTAATTTACCAGTTTTTTTATAAAAATCAGAAGAGTACTGGATGGACGCCGAAATTTTCGAACAGTGGTTCCTAGAGTGTTTCATACCGGAAGTGGAAAAGGAACACAAACGTATGAAAAGAGAAGGAAAAGTCATACTTTTTGTTGACAATACTCCATGTCATAAACTTTCAGCTCGATGTATTACAGAGAATCCGCATTTTGTCATCAATTTTTTCCTCCGAATGTAACAACAATCAGTCAGCCAATGGATCAAGGCGTTATTGAAAAATTGAAAAGAAAGTACTAAAAAAATCTTTTGTTATCCAGTTGATTAAGCAATTGACATTCAAAGATTGTTGTGATATGATTGCAATTGCATGGGAAACAGTAACAGCAGAAAACATCTGAAATGCGTAGAAACTGTTAATTGCACTATCTACAAGCAAAAAAAATTCTTTATCTCGAGCGAATGATGTTGCTGAAACTTTAACAATGCTTCATAACATACATGGCTGTGAAGAATGCGATGAGGAAGATACGATGGCGTGGTTTAATCATAATGATCCTGGTTGGGAAATTCTTACTGACGACGTTATAGTATCTCTTTTAGGCATAAAAGTTTGTTTTATTTATTTATTTCTAAATTATTTCTTTTTGTTCCAAAATTTTCAGCATAACACTTCACTTTTCATAGACGTTTTCACATTCAATGTGGTATATTAAACTGTCTGTGTTGGTGTACATTACCCGGCATTTGTCACGATAGAGCGGTGACATGTATTCATGATGAAATTCATAAAGACATACTTTCGATATGTCGAGTATGCACATGCCGACATAGATTGGTTTATATAGTTTTACCTTTCGTAATTCTATGGCAACCAACTTTTCCGAAAATATGCTTGTACTATGAAAATTTGGTTTCGCGATCATTGCCTCTGCGCCGTATCGTCCGTCCCACTTTGTTAATAATTTTACATCCACATGATTACGCACATTTTTCATCGTTTTGCCAAATACCGCATTATTCATTAATTTATATAAATTTTTTTCAAAATTATTTTTCGCTTGTGTTTTAAACTCTGTATTAAGTTCGATATAATTTTTAAGCCATGCTGATTGAGTAAATTGTAGTATGCAGTATATTTTTGTAACGCGAAGCCCGTGACGCGTGCACTGCTGCAAGTTGTGGTAGTGTATCACGTAACGCTTCTTATCGTAAAGCGTTGCGTGATATTCTTAGCTTATACTCCCGTTTGCCGGGCGGCTTGTCGCGTGTCGGACAAAACGGTAGATCAATGTGTGCATTATGAAGATGTTGTGGATATTCTAAATCTACCTCGAGGATATAACCTGTAGGCGAATCGAGTGCGATAGATGAGATGTCGAAATTCGATACATTGTCGACCCATCAAAAATCGGCATACGGCAATGGTTGACACATTGCCCATCCGTACAAATTATTTACATCTAAGTACATGAGGTAGGATGATGGTTTCGATGAGTCGTACGATTGCATGTACTTGTTATTAGCATGTGCGTATTGACCTGAACATTGACTAAGACCGCCGCGTATACCCCGTTCGATAAACATAACCATGTCAATGTCTGTTATGATTAGCGCAAAATCAGGAAAGAAGCGCTAAATAGTGTCTCTCTCTCTTTCCCGCTCTAGCTGCGAGCCGATACGCGCTAGCGGGAAAGAGAGAGACGGCTGTCACTAAGCCGCCACGCCACGGCCAGCGAACGCGTCCGTTCGGGCCATTGTGTACCGCCAGCCGTGAAAAATATTTGTTTTAAACATACCTTTTCGTTCCTTCTAGAAAGACTCTAATAACAGAATTTGTTGTCGGAGTTGTTTTCCCGCCGGATCTTTCTAAAAGGATCAATGTCATTATAAGGCGCAAAGTCGAGCGCGGTCAGTCAGTCGCCTTTCGACAAACGACAAAATAACCGAGAATCTTTAAACGCGAAAATTATTACGGACACGGCTATTATTTGGACATCGATTTGAATTCTTATACGATTTTCGCAAGTGAAAGGCGTCGGGACATAATAATTATAAAATCCGGAATCGAAATAGTTGTGATTATCGCTTGCTTTATTCGAGTTCTATCAATAAAAGTGCAAGTTCTCTAGAAACCGACTCTATTTATTTATAGTGTCGCCCGATCTATCTCCAACAAAATTTTCTCTCCTCTCTGCGCTTCACTCACGCTTCAAGTCCGCTCGCGAACAATGTCTATAAATAATTTTAATTTTATATTTGTATATTTTAACATGGCGTCCCATGTATATCCCGGAAGAGTATAGTAATACGTAGAGTCAAGCCCATAACTCTTTATGCAACTGTCGCGAAAATTTTCAAATATGTCTGCCAATAACAAGACATTAATTATTAAATATAAATCACTATATTCACCTAGCGTTCGAAGGGAGAATCGGTTCCATACGTTCTCGGCGTGCGCATAATCACTCTCGGATACTTTTTCATCGATTAAAGAACTGTAAAATGATTCGCGCGGTGGTAAACATGCATCTTGCAATTTGTCGATACAGTCTATATATTTATATGGAAAGACGCCTTTCCGTGTCAAAAGATTGAATTTTTCACTAGATAAATTTTGAAACTGTGATTGTAAAATTTTGAATTTGTCTTTATTCAGAAAAGATGCCAATTTGTCAAGACTAGCACTGAGAAATTTATATGAGTCTATGAAACGTAATTTAATATGATTTTTTGAATTGTTGTCTTGCGTCAATTTAACAGTTTTCGAGAATGAAATGTATTTTTCTTTCGTTATTGGAAGTAATTCGATTCCCCCTTTGAACGCTGTGGCTTAGTCCTCGATAATGAAATGCGCGTCGTAACCGGACAGATTATGAAAAACTATCGGAATACAAAAAGATTATTTATAATTTAAACTGCAATTTAAGTGTGCGGGACCTCTGTACCATCCGGTGAGATGGCAATGATCGCGAACGCGTGCATCGTCTTGCTCAAACAGTTTTTCGCATATATGACAATGCGTTGCGCTGCGAAGTTTTTCCCACTCGTCAGATGTTAAATTTACCATGGGGACGTTTGTACTTAAAATATTTTTTACACGTATTGCTAAATTTTTTAGTTCTTCGGCAAACCACGCCACGCAATCGACACTACGGCAGGAATTATATATAAATAATGAATTGTCGTACGAGCAATGTACATAATAAGCTAGGCTAAATACTTGATGATGCTGATATGTTTTTTCTTGTTCCATCTTTTTCATCTTTTTCAAAACGCATTCCAAATCGGCGTACACCACAAACGGAAGCCGCTCCTTTCTGTTGTAGTTGTTGAAGCTAAGCCACTTGTCCTTATCGCTCGGTAATCGGATAGCGCAGTCATTTAATTTTCCACAGTCTACAGTATGCGTCTGCAACTTGTCTTCCGAATTGAAATAGTGTAAACATCTGTAAAATAAAAAATTATAATTTTAATTAAAATTATTTTTTAAATTTTAGTTTAATAAATATATACGTACCGATCACAGATATATCTTCTACATTTCTTTTTACTCAGTTGCGCACTGACAAGTCGAGATAAATTCTTTATCCAAGCGAAATGTCCAACGCTGTTTTCGTCTTGCACGTACAGCAAATTGACGTGTCTGTCTTTTTTTCTCTGAAAGACGTAGCGGGACAATGTTGTTCTCGATGCTGTACACATTCACGGAGATGTTGTTTGCAAGTTCAAACTTTTTAATTTGATTTATAGTCACTGGAAACTCAATGTTCTGGAGATTCAGCACTGTTGTGTAATGTGGATAAGAGGATTCTCGACTCGTGCTTCTTTCAGCAGGGTAAAGAGCGGCCACCACTGACCATGCGAAACACGCATTGTCCGCTGATTGCACATTAACCACCGCTCTCTTTGTCACAATTTCTCGCGGTAATTTGATACGACATCCCGCGCGCATTGGATTGTATTTATTTATATTTACAGTTAAATCTATTATTCGCGACAATGCCCAACCGCTATCGCGTTCCTGAAACTCTTCTAGCGATGCTAGCGTGGGCTCGATAACGCGGCGCTCGTACCACTCGCGTAAATCAGACGTGCGAAAGAGTTCAAAGTTTATCGCATTGACGCTTTTATTGGCACGGTTATCACGGTTATCAGATACAAACTCACCATTAAATATAGTGTTCACCTTCACACTGATGTGTCTCTGCAACATATTTTGCACATTCTCAATTACAATGTTTTTAGCATTTTCTAAAAATTGTCGCGGTTTGATGTAGTTTGTATTAATTATTGCACCGGTCAGTATACGACTCTCGAACGCCGTATCAATTTCGCGCCAAACGAGTCTTTGCACGTTATTGTTGCCGTCGATATTGCCACCGCCACTGTATTCACCACCAATACACATATATTGTCTCTGCAAGCGTACCTTTACACCCTCGAGTCGCACTATTGTAGCCACCATAGATTGTCTATGTCCGATTGAGAGTCGCGGACGCTTGACACGGTTGCATTCTTCAAGCTGTGCGATAAATTCGTCGCACTGTTGCAACCATTCTAAAAATTTGCCCAAGGTGGCGATTTGGTGGGACCGCTCCAATAAATTGCGCTCAATATGCTCCGCGTTTTCAATGTTCTTTTCTTTTTAATCACTATTATGCCACTGACGCAAGAAAGTAATCACTAAACTTTTGCACCACTGCATCTATGCATTTTCAAAATCGTACTATGGCTTGACGCGCTCTCATCCTCCTTATATATATTTCATCTAATTCTGTATTCTTTTTTAGCATTTGGTGTATCCCAAAAAATAGTTTCCCATGCCGTTTTATGTGTGGAGGAGTAAGGCAGCCGAACGTTGGCGCCGATGTGTTGTAAAAAAAAAAAAAGGAAAATGTTTCTCTTCCGTTTATGGAAGATTTTTCGCGAGGATACAAAGCTGCCGAACGTCAGCGCTTTTACACTCGTACCGCCTATAAATAACATTTTGACAGTTCGTCGCAACGTTGGCCCTAAAATCTCAATTTCCTTCCGTATGTCGGAACAATAAAATGCATCAAAAAAAGGATTTTATGAATATTGGAGTGCCCCTTTTTTAAATTTGGGCAGTCATAAACCCCTGCCCAGCTTGACGTCATAAATCCCTGCCCAATGTGACGTCATTCCCCCACCCTTAGGATATCCCCTCGCCCCGCACCCCGCTCAGAGGCCCTGAGTTAGAACCAGCCTTATATCACTACTTACATTCTTTTCAATTTTTCAATGACGCCTTGATCCATTGGCTGAATGATTGCTGTTACATTCGGAGGAAAAAAATTGATGACAAAATGCGGATTCTCTGTAATACATCGAGCTGAAAGTTTATGACATGGAGCATTGTCAACAAAAAGTATGACTTTTCCTTCTCTTTTCATACGTTTGTGTTCCTTTTCCACTTTTGGTATGAAACACTCTAGGAACCACTGTTCGAAAATTTCGACGTCCATCCAGCTACTCTTCTGATTTTTATAAAAAACTGGTAAATTAGTCACGTTTTTGAAGCAGCGAGGCTGTTTGTATTTTCCGATAACCATAATTTTGAGCTTGTGCGATCCTGTGGCATTTGTACATAGCATGAAAGTCACTCGATCTTTTAGTACTTTTCGTCCCGGGGCAGTTTGCTCTGAACGACTTGCGAGAGTTTTCCTTGGCAAATTTTTCCATAACAAACTACTCTCGTCCGCATTGTATATATTTTTAGAGTCGTATTCTTCTTCTTTCATTTCCGCAGAAAACTGTGCAAAAAATAATTGTGCAACTTCGTTATCACTAAACAGACTTTCTTTTTGAACGCTGAGCTCGCGAATATCATGTCGTTGTTTAAATCTGTCATAATATATACATAAATATGTATACATACATATGTATACATACATATTTATGTATTTTATATATTATTTATATTTATATTATATTATTTATATATTATGTACATAAATATGTATACATACATATTTATGTACATAATATATAAATAATATATACGTAATAGACATAAATTTTTTACCTCCACAGCTAACCGTTACTTCCTTTGAAGTGATCAGGGCCATTCAATTTTTGATTGAGGATAATTGCTTTTTTTTTAGAAGTGGACCCGAGATTGGTTCTTCTAGTAAACGCCGTTGTTGAAACCACATAAATAACGCTTTATTCAGAAGCTGATGTTCTACATAGTTTATTACTTTTTTCTTTAAAGAACCGTCATTATCCTTTACTAAACTTGCATATTTATAAAGGTCATTTTTCTTCTTTTTGATTAACCATATCGTAGAATGTGCGACGTTGTACTTAGCTGCCAATTTTGCAACGGATTCACCTTTTTCCAAGCAACTCAATATTGCTATTTTTTTAGAAATTTCTAATCGCCGGTATTTTTTCTTGACTTTGTCTATCTCACTGTATTTATGTAAATGCTTAATCGACGCGTTTTTGCATGAAATTGTCCTGAAACAAAATAACGAGTTTAGGAAATCTGTCAATGCACGGGACGAAAGGCAGCGATATGAGGATGCGCATGTGGTAATATATACATGTTGTGTGATCACATACGCATGCTTATGTCGCATTATTTTTGCAATTGCTATGCGACAAAATTATAAATATACACTCACTTCGTAAAATATGTAAGGATTCCGTCCTCCATACTTGAGCACTGCACGGCACTGTGTCGAAGACAGAGAAGGAAAGAGGCTAAGTCCATCGTGACCGCTTTCTAGCATGCTATTGGATACCTCTCGCAGTCGGGTTTGTCTCCGCATCAATCCAACTGAGAGAGGTTCCACTGTATACTTCTTGTAATAATTGCAATTCCTGTTATATTGGGAAAATCAAACGTCATCTGGATACGCGCATAAAAAAACATAACTCTAACATCAAAAAACATAAAACTAATTCTTTACAAATAATTGTTGATCGTTAGTGACAAATTTCGACAAATAATGAGATGCATTTAATTCGACCAAAAACTGGAGAATGAAACTAATTATTCTGTCATTAATAAACATAGAGTGTCGCTTAACCATGATTTGGACTAATGTTTCCATCCTACATAACAAAGCTAACGTAAAAAAGAAAGAAATAAGTGAAATGATTTTTATTAAGAAACAAAAAAATTCCATAAATTTGCAAAGGGACACGAACATTTAAATTTGATTTATGACACTATTCTTAATTTATTTTAGTCCTTAGTAACGCATTATATTATTTATATTTTACCTATAATAATTCCATTTTAATATCATTTTTATTTACTATGTATATACGTTTTATTTTCTGTTTACGGAGGTTTTAGTTGTATTATTTTAGTTGTGTTGATTATTTTATCTTATTTAATCGACTTTTATTTCTCTCTTAACAATGTTTTTGACTTGTTGTTGGCTAATCTGTGTTCGGTTAATCTAACGTTACTTATCAAAAGGAGTACTACTTTTCATTAGGATATTAATTATATTATGTCAAGTTTTTTAAATTTTGATCTTATACTATAAATTGACATCACGAGCGTATAGTTTTTACCATTCTACATTAAATAATGGTGTTATATCTCTAAAAACTATAACTATTAAGGTATAATTACTCATATTACATCCGCTTGACGACGGGCACTGACCGCGTAAAAACGCATACGCTGCGAGACACACGCAGAACCGAAATTGCCCAATGTGCAAGCAAAGCGGAAGGACTTGGAATTTACTTCGCTTGCACCTAGGTCCTTGACCTGTTGCCAGGCACCCTTTCCGATCAAAGAACTTCCAAAAAGCAAGACTATAAAAACGGAGCAGGAGACGCGTTCAGGAGTCGCTCTCGAGTCGTTAATTTAGAGTAACCTCGCTAACCGCGTGCGATCTATAACATCTTATCGCAGTCGCGCGCGCGATTCACGAAGTCATAGTTAACTAGTGGAAATAAAGAAAACGTCAAGTAGTTAATTCAAATAAAAATTCTTTAATAGTGAAAAAGTGAAGTGCATTCATTCAATCATCCCGATTCAAGCCCTGACGCCCCGGATCCTCATCCTAATTTAGCGCGACTCCTTGTGCCTTACCCGGGGCACACAACAATGGATATTACAAATTATAATATTATAATTATAAATTAGACGTTTTATTTTGTTATTACTTTCAACCTTGTCTCTTACTTACACTGTATTGTAATTAATTTTTGTAGCCTAAAGAGGACGCAATTTAGGGTCGAAACGTTGTTTCTTTTGCAATAAAAGAATTATTACTCTTGGCCAGTGGTGGTCAATAAAGTTCTTTTAATTTTATTTATATTTTTACTTAAAACTATATTAGGCATTTTATCATAACTCATTTTAATCCCACGAGTAGAGAGGAAATACTTTGTTAACTCTAACAGACCCTTCTATGAGGGCGACCTTACTCCGGAGAATCGGCCGGTACCCCGGCGGGACCGTTTAAGACAGTTATTGTAAAAGTTGCCGCCGCGAAGGCGACGAGCTTCGGCTACCTCGCCCATGCGGGCATACGCCACAACTGCTACCTACCGTCACCGGAACCGCCTCGAAAATGGCGATAGAAAAATCCAGCAGCGCCTACGGGCGTACGCAGAATGGACAATTTAGCCACAACGAGCGAGCCCTCCTGCTTCTCCAGCTGATTTTCCTCCTAGGGACCGCACTTACGCCATTAGGACCCGATGTGCGTGATTCTGAAATTTCCGTGTCCGGTGAAGACCTGTGT